ACTAAGTTTGTACGTACTTTTAATTTTAATTAGTTTAGTAAATCATACTTCATTTTGTACGTACTTAGCCTAATTTACATGCCACCGCCATTTTTGATCTACTATATCTTCTATTGAAGTTCTCATTTTTATTGTTACCCCCAAGATTTAGCTGTTCTTGATTGTCGGAGCAGGAACCCATTAAATTGGAGAAAAAAATTAAGTCATGTAGTACGTACGTACGTCGTGATTGTTTATCATATAGTCAAGTGGTCCTGCATACGTTTATCGGGTCTAAATACTTATTGTACGTACATCTGATCTGACTATAATAAGTAACAGCAACATATATTGGAAGTTTGCAACAATAACTTAAATACATTATGACTTAGCTCGTTAGAGAGCTTGACATGGTGTGCACAAGTGCCCAACCATATTCCTATAAGTTATGTTTCGTCCATTGCGATGCTAGTTTGTGATTAATGGACATTATTGCTCAACAAACCTTACTTCATGGTTGTTAATTTAGAGGCTATATTAAACATAAAGGACCGTTCTTTTACGTAACTAATTAATTTACGTCCAAAATGCTGTAGCGGAAAAAATGAACGTACCAATTCCAAACATAATTTATCAGAGAAGTACGTAATTAATGGATCAAAGTTTACGAATGTAACAATATTTAATTGATGCTCGATAATCATGTATGCAGGGTTGCTTTCATTTCATAATCCTGAAGCTATGAATTACGGCATGGACGGCACCAATGGCATAGACTAGGTTTTATATTAGAAAGATTACCATCATCAATCTATGCAATGATGGTCGAGCTTGTACACTTTTTTGGTTCAGAATTAGTGGTCACGTTATCTTAATACTCACATCTTTCACAATTCAAGTTTTACGATATTGGTAGTTATATTATTATGTCTTAGACAAACCTTTTCCATAATAAGTTAATCCATAAATATAAATTACAAAGGTTCAAAAAGAGGATAATTCTATGAACAAGAAATATAGGCTGATCGAATTCGAAGTTGATTGAAGACAATCGTATTGGTTTGTACTCCGTAGTTGATTATTTAAATTCTATACAGCCAAACCAGCAAGTATGGTTCAGGCTTAAAACCGATTTTACTGTTTTGAATCGTTTCGATCTAAATATAATCAGTCTGATATTAAAATTTCTAATTAAATCAAATTTGAATTTCAATCCATTCTAACTTTGGACCGATAAATAACATACACTAGTTAGAAGTCTAATAGCTGGGATTACTACTTGAGTTTTAAAACAGAGGACGGTTTAATATTTTAATCTTTAAACCACTGACTTAATATTAAAGTTGTCAATTTGTAAAATTCATTTTTTCCTGGAAATTTTTTTTTTTTTTTTTTGAAGCTTGGCTATACCCAAGGATAAGTATCAAAAACATCGAAGACGTGTACTCTTTGCATTACAGATAACCAGTTACGTAGTATTATTATAAACATTTCATTAGTATAGGGTTTGCATCTTAAAAACTCTACTATAATGTTGATACATGACGTGATTTTTTAATCATGATGCGCATGATTGGTCACTATTTTTTTATTTTTAGGTCAAGCATCCATGTTCTACTAAATTATATTTTTAGGACGAAGTATATTTTATTAGTTAACTATTCTCTCAATCTCTTTTTTGCATCATAGGCCTACTTGTGAGAGCATTATGAGCTATGTGGTGATGTTACTAATGTAAAAGATAAGGGATGACAAAAGTATGTTAATATATACATGTAATTGTTACCTCCGTCTTCAAATAAAAGTTACATTTCACTCATAAGTGTTGTTCTTGATGATAGAGTAAAAAAGTTCATTTTTAATATTTTTTTTCCACATAAAATAAATTAATCGCGAGACATTAATATATATAAACCCCCATTATTTTGTTTATTGTATCTTGACTTTTATTTCATCTTTAAGCAATCAAATCCTAATACAATTTTTTATGTACCTTGTCTAAAAATGTGTGCAAAAGAGAAATAAAATTTATAAATGGGGAAATACATCATTCAGGCTTTAATTTGCACTATTTACATATACTATCTTGATTTGACAGGTGAGAATTTTGATAAACTCATATTGATCAATCTATACTTTTAAATAATATTTCCTCTATTTTTTTTTATTTTTTTTTTATATACTTACAACACTTCTCTTTGTACGCTTGTCGGTACATTATTTCAATTGTTAATATCTTTAATTGTGAATATGTAAAATTATAAACATTAGATATTAAAATAGTATAAATCGAGACGAATCTAACAAGATCCCACATGACTATTTTTTGTTTAACCATAAATCGTTAAAGCTAGTCAAAGTAGAGTATATAAATAGTGTAAAAATCAAACTGTTGCAACTATAAAAAAAAATTTGGAGGAAGTAGGTTTTATAGTTCTTATTTAAAGATAATCATTAACCATTGACAAGTATGAAATTTCAAATATTATGAATTAAAAAATTTAAAGGAAATGCTCATACTAGTATATGATTTCATAGGCTAACCCTTTGAAGCGGTCATCTAGTGATAAGAGTTGTTCGTCTTTCAATTCTTAAGTTTTTGAAGTGGTCACTGCCATAACATTGACCTTAATAATGAGCTTAATTATTATCATTAAAGTCAATCTATATGATAACAAACACGGAGTAGTATTGGAGGCCATTGAGTTGAAAGCTCTTTGGGAAGTAATGTGCAAAAATTTAGAATAACCAATCCACCATTAAGAACTTTTCGGTCTTTATGACAGTTTTGTTGAAATACATCTTTAAAAAACACTGCACACTTATATTATTGTTGCATTGGTTGTATGAGGAAAATAATCCGCATGTTACTTGGGACTAGTCCTAATTTAAGAGATTGAGAAAATGACTAATATATTAGATTGGTGAACTAATTCATCTACTATATAATTGATTATATAAGAAGGAATCCTATAGGCTTATATATGGTCATATTCTCCTTTCGTGCGTGCTTGTGGTCGGTCAAGTGAAATTTATTAATATATATGGTTAACGGTAAGTTTATTGTGCATTAAATTTTAGAATTCTTTATTTGGTTTAAAATTATAGATTGTTAGGTTAAAAAGGTGAAACTATAATTGGTCCTTAATGTGTTTTATACTTCCTTTTTTCTCCACTAAAACCAATTATTTAAATATTAAAAATAATCATATTTCTCACAAGCTAATAAGTATTGAAGATAAACAACATAAAGTCAGAAGAAAATGAGAAAAATGTTATTATAAAAATGTGAAGAATACATATATTGACCTCTTCTAACTCTAAGAAATATTTTCATGATGATGACTTGATGAGAGCCCTTGCAACACAACTTTTTTGACATAGCTCTTAACCATTAAGAAAGGGTACTTGAAACATATTAATCATGCACCAATTTTAAATTCAAATATTAAATACAGCTATGTTGTTAAATTAACAGGTCGTTTTCTTGAGCAATGCTTATCATGCATGCCAACAATTTTCTTGTTATCACTTACAAAAAAATTTACCAACTTATTCCAAAGCAATTGGGATGACTAAATATATTGTGTTTCCTTTTTTAATTTTTGGGTTAGGGGGTTGGTGGTATACCATTATCACAATTTTATTGTCAACCTCTTGCATAGAATAGGAAGGACTCGATTCCAAGTTTTTTTTTTATTATATGGATATTGGTACGTACTATTTTTTGTTCTTAAACTTTTAGTAGCTTTTTGCCGTCCAATGTAAGCAAAAGTGAGAAGATAACGAATTTTAACGTGTAAAAAGCAAAATGTGTACGTATGAACTATGAAAATCTCTAAAAGACATTACACTTTACACAATTACATCCTTGGTTTAAGAATTGATACATTAATTACTTGATTAAGAATTCTTTTATTGGCAATCCATAGAACATTTGCTCATAAACATTGAAGTATTAGACAAGTTTGATGGTGTTTTGTACTTAATTAACAATTAATCAGAAATTAAGAGTAATTTGCTATATGTGTCTAATCCATAATAAAATGTTTCATCCAGGACTATTAGAAAAGTTCAAACAATATTTTTTATAAGGCAAGATATAATCATTAGAAAGCCCTCCTTACGAGGGCAATCCCTAATGTAGTCAAAACACTAATTGATGTATGAAACTACGAAACTTATCATATATATATACCTTGTTTATGGTTCAATTTCGTATATACTTCCTAATGAACTCTTGCGTTAGGGTTGAACCTCGAGGCTTGAGAGGAGGGAACCCTATCATTCTTCCCTTTACATGCATTTAAGGAATAAAATGTCTAAATAAACTCAATAAAGCAGTCTTTAACAACGAATTCAGTACTAGATTCATATTGATTTAATTTAATGATAATTTTCTTTTTTTTTAACAGTGTAATGCTTTTATACTTTTGGTTGTAGTAGCCATAAAAGTCCTTATATCTTCCTTTTGACTTCATTATAGTTTTGAGTCTTTCTTCTTTTCACATTGAATCAACCAAGAAATGGCATAAAGGCTTTCAACCCCTATTAGGTGGTCAATTTTCAAAGACCTTTAGAAGAAATTATTGAATGAAATTATTATTTATTATTGATTATGTATCCTCCTATTCATAATAACCACAATTATACTTGTATTTTTCACTTGTTTGTAATAATGGCAACAATTCCTTATACAGTAAGGAGCTGTTAATATTTTATTATTGTCTCCTTTTCACATTAGTCGCTTATCTCCAACTAAACTACTAAACATAACTCAACTACTTCTATTTATATTATAAAATCTTTTTATTCTCCATCATAGATATTTCTTAATTTATGTTTCTAGACTACTATTGTGATTTATCTAAAACCGATAGCAAAATCACTCGTATTAAAGGCTAATACAATTGCCATCTTCATGTTCGGATTTTTATTTCCATATATAGTATTATTATATGAGGCATAAAACCTTTTTTTTTTTTTTTTAAGAGGGAAACCAAGCTAGTTTATTAATTTAGGGACAACTTGTCCATGAATATATGAAGCATAAACTTTAGGAAATAGTAGTTCGTACTTCGTAACTTATGATTTGTGATTTACTATTCCATCGACTTTTTCGTCATTCCCTCCGTCATGGTACATGATCTTTATTCATACCGAAAGTACAAGTTTATAACTAATTCGCCTTTTTAATCCCCATTTTCTTAGTTTTCATATATATGCTGCCTTCAATTCTCATATTAATTAATAGTAATAAGTATTCCTACTTCCTAGTATTAATTAAAAGTACTAGGTTGAAGTTGTTACAATCTAGAGCAAAACCCGAGATCGCAATCTTATATTTGTCCCTGAAAGTAATGAGATACAAATATTCATGGGAAAACTCAACCACGGTGACCAATCATGTGACAAAACAAGAAAAATAAAGGGTGTTGTTATTCGTCGCTCCCATTTTACCGGGCGTCGCTCGCATTTTTTGCTTGAAATTCCTAAATTGCCCCTTGGTTATAAATAGCCACGAGACTCCCGAACTACACATTTCACACTTGAATTTTCTCTCTCTAAAATCTGTAATCTCTCTAAAAAATCACATTTGTAATTTTCTCCAAAAAAAAAAAAAACCAAAACCGAAAACAACCACAATCGACTTGCAATGGCTGACCGGAGGCACATAAGGTTCACGCATGGTGGTCGTGGCGGCGGTGGATTTTCCGGCGAACAGGTAATCAAAACGAAAAAAAAAAAAAATTTCTGGAAAAACCCAGAATTTCTGGAAATAAGGGGACATCCGCCTGAAAAATCCGGATGTCCCTAGAACATCCGCCTAAAAAATCCGGATGTTCTAGGGACATCCGGATTTTTCAGGCGGATGTCCCCTTATTTCCAGAAATTCTGGGTTTTTCCAGAATTTTTTTTTTCTATTTTTTTTTTTCGTTTTTTGTATTTCTTCTTTATTCCGATTTTTTTGACGTTTTTCAGTTTTCGTTTTTTTTTTTGTTGTATTTTATTTTTGCAGTTTTTTTTGCATAAATTTTTTATAATTTTCAGTTTCGGTTTTGTTTTTTTTTTTTTTCAGTTTATTTTTTTTTTGCACTTTTTTTTTTCTGTTTTTTTGTGTGTTGCTGTTGTCGTTGTTGTTGTTGTTCAAGTCGTTGTTGTTGTTGCTGTTGGTGTCGTTGTTGTTGTTGTTGTTGTTGTTCTTGAAGTTGTTGTTGTTCTTGAAGTTGTTGTTGTTGAAGTTGGTGTTGTTGTTGTCGTTCTTGGAGTTGTCGTTGTTGGAGTTGTTGTTGTTGTTGTCGTTGTTGTTGTCTTTGTTGTTGTTGTTGTAATTATATTAGTATGTTTTTGTTTAGTTTTTATTTTGTAATTTTTTTTTTTATAATTATTTTTTATTTCTTAATTTTTTAAATTGTTTATCTTTGTTAATTGTTTTTAATTTGTTTGTGATGTTTTTTTTTGTCGATTTATTTTCTATCCTTTTGTTTCTATGTTTGTGAGGTTTTTTTTTTTTTTTTTGTTATTCGTTTATGTTTCTTAATTTTTGTATATTAGTTTGTGATGTTTTTTTTTTGTATTGAGTTTTTTTTTTTATTCTGTTGTTATTATGTTAGTGAGGTTTTATTGTTGTTCGTGTAATTTGTTTATACTTGTTATTTTTTTTTTATTTGTTTGTGATTTTTATTGTTTTTTTTGTTTATGTTTTTTGGTTTGTTTTTGTGGTTTTGCTTGGGAAAATTTATTTTTGTTTATGTTTTTTTTATTATGTACGTACTTAACATAGATTGAGGGTTCGGGAACTCGTCACGCAATATCTAGGCGTTTGAACGCCTCAGTTAGGCGGGAGTCAGGCCGTTTAGGAAATACGGCCGAACCGTTCGATCACCAGCAGCAGTATGGGTATGCTGGTAACTGGTCGGGGGAGCAGCAGCCAGAACGTAGCATCCCCATGTACTCGTCGGGTGGAGTGCCTTCACCTTCATCTGACGATGAGGACGACGAGGCAAGTCAGGCTTCCCGCGATCAAGAGTATAACCCTCGTTATTATCATACGGTGCAACGGGGTCAGACTGGGAGATTTTTCAGCAGTAGTCAAACCAGTCACCCTTCCACCAGCACAGCAGAGGCATGGGTAGTGCAGGAGGCGATGCCAGGAGGTCCTGAGGATGGGACCGTTATCCCTAGCTTTGGGGGGCACGTGGCTGCGTATATATGGGGCGGGCAGGAGCGTAATGTTTTGCGCTGTTTGGGCAGGACGCAGTTGTGTTCTGAGTTGGTCGCCTGGCGAGGTCGTCTTGCACAGGAGCATCTGGAGTTGATTGACAGTAGCGGTCTGTCTCACTTACCTGGGATCATGTTCAGGCGTTTGGATTGGCCGCTGATTTCAGCTTTTGTTGAGAGATGGCAACCAGATACGAACACGTTCCATATGCCATTTGGGGAGATTACGGTCATGCTGCATGATGTGTACTACATACTAGGGCTTCGTGTAGATGGTAGCATGGTGTCCGCTACTCCCAGCACGGACACCCTACGGGACGCATGCTCGATCACCATGGACTTGACTGCAGAGGAGCTGAATGAGAAGAGCGGTACCAAGACCATCTGGCAGGGGAGTGGGGTGCTGACGGAGAGGATTGCGGAGTCGACCCTGGAGTCGCAGAGGCCTTTTAATGTCCATTACAGTGCCTACCTGTGGTTAGTGCTGGGCGGATGTCTGTTTCTGGACAAGAGTGGTAACCGTACTCATCCGTCCTTCCTCAGCGAGCTTGTTGTGGATGATCTGCCGATCGATGAGTACTCTTGGGGTTCAGCTGTTCTAGCGTATTTGTATCGGCATTTGGGTACGGCATCTAGGAAAGATGCCGATTCTATCGCTGGTTGTCTCACACTTCTGCAGGCGTGGATCTATGAGTATTTTTCATGCTTCCGGCCTCAGCAGGGTACCTTGACTAGGGAGCTTAGTGTTCCGCGTGCCTCAGCTTGGGATGTGGGATCGGGATGCCCCAACAAGAGCATGGAGCGCCTCCTCGCATTTAGATCTAGATTGGATCAGCTGACCGATAATGAGGTTAACTGGCTCCCGTACGGGATTGATCCGGCACGTCGCGTGCCAGCCACTTTATTCATTGGCTGCATCCAGTATCGAGGTATCATTGAGCCATACATGCCTGATCGAGTCGTTCGTCAGCTGGGATTTGTGCTGGACATTCCGGGGACCATTATCAGGCCTGAGAAGGCTAAGAGGCCGACGAACTTGAAGATGTATCGGGTAGAGTTCCCAACTGAGATGACATCAGTGATGTGGACTCGGTTTGTCCCTGGATCGTCGTTTAGTGTTGTTCCCGGTGCCCTTACCCGACTCGGCGGTGGAGCTCCTACGGTCGGTCCTGGTTACATGCAGTGGCTCTACCGATTTTCGCATCCTCGTATTTCTCCGGTTGGGTCTTCAGTTGGGGACAGACTTCTAGAGAGGACTAACACGGACTACGTAAGCACTTGTGTTTTATTTATACTTTAACTTTCATGTACGCTAACTGTGAATTATGTAACTAATGTGTTGTTCTCTTATTTGTAGTGGATGGGTCGTTCCTTGGAGATTCACCGTAGGGCACTGGCAGAGTATCCCAGCATGTCGCCTGACACGAGGGGGATGACTGAGCAGCTGATTTTGGACTGGCAGGCGAGGATGGGGCTGTGATCCACTTCTGTTTTTGTTTACCATTAGCTAGTCCATCTGAAACTTTGTTTTGTAAATAAAAATAATGTAATTGCGAGTTTTGTTTCAACTTTGTATCATTAATTTGATTAATTTCCTTATATTATATCCGTAGAACTGTTCAACCTAAATTACATAAATCTGATCAGCCTAATTACATAAATTCGTCTTCCAACATAATAACATAAATAAGTTCATCCTAATTACATTTATGTATTCAGCCTAATTACATGTATGTGTTCAATCTAATTACATAAGTTCGTCTTTCAACCTAATTACATAAATATGTTCAGCCTAATTACATATATCTATTCAACCTAATTACATAAATATGTTCAACCTAATTACCTTAATAATGTTCACTGGCCAACTAATGCATCCCACATGTTCCTTCTAGCGATATACAGCTGATCCCATCCACCGACACTTGGCTCGTGGTTCTCTGTCCACCATCCTGCGATCGGAGGAAGAGGTGAATTGTCGACTAGATCAATGCAGATGAAATGTGACCCCCCAACTGTAGCGATGACAAATTCCCGGGTTGGTGCTCTGACCCCGGCTCGTGCCTGCAGCGGTAAGATGGTGAGACAAGGGTAATAGCAGGTCGGGTCGTTACCTACACCAAGAATTATAACCACTGCGTTGAACCAAGTAGCAATGGGAAATAAATCTTGAATAGCAACCATCCAGTGCCGTGAATCAACAGCCCCACCATCCCATCGAATGCGATCCACATTCAGCCACACCCTTCCTATCCCGTATATCCTTTCGTACAAGAAGGGGTGAGCGGCGACCTCGTTCGCTAGTATTTCCCGAGCGTCATACCACTTCGCTTGATCTCCGAGGAAGAAGTCGGCCACACAACGAAATCCGCAGTTACCATCGCCAATGACGTCCTTCCATCCCGTGATGTAAGGCAACATCGGTCCTGGGAGCAAGTGCAAATATCGGCATTGGCGGATGTCACCTTGATCTTCTGTCACTGCACATTTTATGTTTTCGTTATGAGTACGGAAGAAATTGAAATACGTGTAAATCACAAAACCAATAGCAAGCCGTACCTGTTTGCTGCGTACGACGTTCAGTGTATCGACGGTCCACATGTTCGAAGTAACTGTGATGTCGTCTAGTATCGTTGTTCCTTCGGCGACCTCGAACGTTGTGATTCACTTGCGGTTCTTCGAGGTTTGAATGATCCGGATGCAGCTCCTCCTCAATAATGCGAGATACATTTCGAAGTACAGCAGGATCACTAGCAACGACCTCATCAACCAAGGAACGGAAATGTGCAGCATCCTCGTTACAATCGTTCACGAACTCCGGTACATTAACACCGTCGCCGATGACCAAGGTCTTCCAGAACGGATGAATTTTCCTTCTATACAAGCCTGTTTGCGCAACCAACGAGTCATATATCTGGCAAGCGCATGGCAAACCGTGGGTCACACGCATTGCACATCCACAACGTTCATGCACCTGGTAACTCAGCTCCGTCATCCTTCTTGTCTCGTCATCTAGTACTTTCAGACAATGCTGAGACACCTTGCCGTTAATACGAGACAGTGGCAACTGTCTGTACTTCTCACCGATCTTCGACCTTGACGCCTCCAATGAATTACGAATGGCAATGATCTGGTTGCCAATATGACTATGTACTCGGGCCCATACGATATCCAAAGAACCTGCCATTGAAGTTAATTATAAAAAACCCATTGGTATTTACAAAAAAATGGAATTAAAACAAAGTACATACACCGGCTACAAAATTCCAACAAAATACCTGTCGAAGATTCGAACCACATCTTCATGGCCGAATGTTGACTCTCAACTCGGCAAGTGCTCGTGTTACCGAGGTGCAGAACCTGGTTCGTCCAGAATGTCACGAATTTGGTCTTATGACAAAGCCAGGTTCTCTCGACATAACTAATCACATTTGGAAAACTGGCCCACCGGGTTTTCATTCTGTCTATAGCTGAGTTATAATCCGCCTCAGCCGTGGCATCCATGATACGTTTCCAAGGACCGTTTTTGAATTGCGCCCCAATCTTCTTGTTCTTGAACATACTAGTGACCCGAGCCTCCACATCTTTGTTAATGTGCCACCGACAAAGCAAATGCGACGTCCCGGGAAACCCTTCTCTCAATGCCGCACAAAGTCCAAGCTCACGGTCTGTCAGAAATACCGACGGCTCCTTATCATACCCAATCAACTCTCTTAATCTCTGTAGAACCCACCGGTAGCTTCCCGTGCACTCGTTGCGCATGAACACATAACCGACGAGGAAATTCTGATTTGTCGGTGTCACACCGACTATCTCAAAGAACGGCATCCCGTATCGGTTGGTCTTGTATGTCGAATCCATGCCGATCACATACGGGTACGTCCGTAGTATGTTCACCGTGATCGAGTGCACCATAAACGCATGCTGCAGAACGCCGACATCATCAGACATGACCCAGTAAATATACCGGCTCTCTCTCGCTAAATGCAGAAATTGCTGAACAACTCCTCTCCCATCAGACATCTCCGCTCTCAAGTTATTCCGACAGTTGTAGATATGTCGGATGTTTGGATGATCATCGGGAAATTGCTCAGCAATTGTCGCCATGATGTTCCGCGGTGCAACCTTGGACTTTGTCATGTCCTGGACAACCTTCTTCGCATCCGGGCTCAAGCCACTGATCTTACGATGACCCTCCGGATAGACAATCATTGGATGGTTATGGGTCCCAGTTGCATCATTCTTGGCCCGGATCTTCCAACTGTCGGTGACGAAGACATAATAAATCTTGATGTAGAAAGGACAACCAATTGCTTTGGTTTTGGTGTCCCTCCTAATTGCATTCTCAAGATCTCTCGGCTGGCTCTTTCGGCCCCTATCACACCTCAAATACCGGTACGGCCGACCGTCTCTGGTTTTGTTGTAAGACGATTTAACCAAAAGAAAACCCAGATTTACGGCAACAGCATTCGCCCAATTAACTGCCTCATCAAACGTTGGAAACAACGTGTCTGTGGCAAAATGCGCACTATAATTTACATCGTCGGCACCATCTTCGTACTCCGAACCCTATAAACAAAAATGAAGACACACATAAAACACAAACACGTTACTTCTAATTCTAGTATAGACAATAATAGTAACAATATTAAAAATAATATTAACAATAAACACAACAATACTAAAAACAAGTTAACAATAATCATAACAATACTAAAAATAATATAAACAATAAAAACATTAACAATAACACTAATATAATAACCATAACAATAATAACAAAATTAATCATAATATAATCAAAATTAAACATAACGATAATAAAAACAATAATAGTAAACATAATAATATCAACAATAATAGCGATACTAATAACCATTAATGCACAAAAAATTAAAAAAATTAATAATAACCATAATGATGATAATAATCATAATAATAATAGCAACACTAATAATAAAATAATACTAATAATAATAATCAAAAACATCAACAATAACACTAATATATTAAAAAAAACAAAAAAAAAAAAAAAAAACGGTTTTATGTAACATCCGGATGGAATTTCCGGATCTTCCATGGAGGATCCGGATGAAATTTCCGGATCTTCCATGGATCATCCGGAAATTTTGTCCGGATGTTACATAAAACAGAAAAAAAAAAATTTTTGCGAAACTTACAGAATCTTCCGACGATGCCTCCGGTGTGCGATCGTTGCCGTCATTCCACATCTTAAGCCGGTAAATTCACCTCCAGAAAAAATTTGTGAAGAAAATTTAAAAAAAACCGACTACTCGGGATTTTGGGACTCGGGATTTTTGGACTCGGGAATTTTAAAAAGGAAACTTTGAGTGAAACCGCTCGATAATGTTTTTAATATGATCGTGATTCTTTATGACTAGTCGGTGAACCTTTAAATAGCACAAAATCACCTAAGGGCAAAATAGTCATTTCAGTCAAAATTGGGAGCGATACCTAGTAAAAAGGGAGCGACGAATAGCAATTCAGAAAATAAAAAGCAATATTACAACAATTTTACCTCACTCGAACCAAGCAAGTTAAGTACTTTGAAGTTGGTTGATGATCTCTTATGTATCCTTTCGTTCCCTTCAATTCCAAACGTTGAACTTGTAAAAAATAGACTAAAATATTGTGAGATAATTAAATTTTAATTTTGATATGTTATATGAAAGCTCGCACTAATAAGACTTATTCATTTACGTGGGGCGAGTTTCTTAACTCAAATGGGTGAATATAGCTCACATCGAACAAGGGTCTGCATATAAAATTTCCGCCTTATGTAAGACAAAAAAAATGCAATCTTAGACAATGTGCCTGTTAGAATTTGCTTTGAAATGCTTTGTCCCCTTTGAAAGACTATCATTTGGCCATCGATGGGTATTCAGTGCAACACTCCTAAACATACGGTGTTTGTTATTAGGTGGATTACGACTTATATTTTTTGGTAAACTTTTGGGTGAGACGGATTCACCGTGAGTCCGCCGCCAACACTCACAACACCATTTATTAATCAACTCTCGCTAAAATCGAAATCCTCCAACCATCATCACCTCGTTACCCACTTCCGCCGTCTTCCTCCACCACCACTTCCACCGTCTTCTTTGTTCTAGGTTTCTTCGGCAGCGTTTTCGGCGGCATTTTCCGACGGAGAAGACATGGAGTTAGGTTTTGTGGGTTTGATTTGTGGCGGCAAGTACGGAGGAGAGAGAAAATGGTGGTGGTTTTGGCGGCAACACTACAGTTGGAGTGTAAGAGATGCTTTGTTTGATTTAATGTGAAAAATCCCAATCTGGAGGGGTTTCCATGGATGTAATGAGGAGAGAGAAAATATTATAGCCATGGAAGAAGAAGAGAGTCAATGGTGAAGGAGAAAATAATGTCAGGTATTAGATTATTATTGTTTGGTATTAGATTATTATTGTCAGACATATTGGACTCACGGTAGTCCGGTCTCACACAAAACCTTCTCATTTTTTTTGCCTATTTTCGGTCTTTTCCACTTTATGTTTTGTGAGTATTATGCAAATTCCTTAGGGTTTAACCTAGTCAATAGTCACTATATGTTTTGTAATATGTACTTTCCTCAACATCAGTAAAACTTTCCTCTCACTTAATATTTGAGCTGACTCAGCTCATTGTTAGTGAACAATGTAATATACCACCTCCGATTTTTTTTATGTGCAACTTTGGTAGACTTTACGGTTCACGAGGCAAAACTTAATAATGGTGATTAATGTATTATAAGGGTATGTAATTAAAGTGGAGAGAGAATGTTTGGATAATTAATCAACCACCCACTGCCACCACCAAAACTAGCCAACACCACCGCCGCCTTCACCAACACCACAGCCGCCTTCACCACCCCCACGAAACCACCACCACAACCAACCCCACGAAACCACCACCATCCCCACGAAATCACCACCGTACCACCCACAAAAACCAAGGCCACCACCTCCAAACAACCCTACCGAAACCCACCGACGGAACCACCACTTCCACGAACAAACACCAAAACCCAAAACAACGACCACCCACCAAAACCCACCGATGGAACCATCAAAACCCACCCACCAAAACCCAGATCCACGACCACCCACCAAAACCCACACACCAAAACCCAAATCCACGACCACCCACCCACCAAAACCCAAATCCACGACCACCCACCAAAACCCATCAACGGAACTAACCACGAAAACCAACCCACCGGAAACGACAACTCACGAAAACCAACCCACCAGAAACTAAACCCCCAACTCAAACCCAAAACCACGACCCACACCGCCTTCACCAACACCACCGCCGTCGTCAATGCGGGCTTCACCACCACCAGTACCACCACCCTCACGAAAACCCACGAAACCACCGGTTGAAGTTGAAGAGAGAGAAAGAAGATCAATGGGGGAAGATGAGGATGACAGAGGAGAGAGCAAATATGGGGGAAGATGAAGATGAATGAAGATGGTTTTGAAAGAGGAGAGAGAAAATATGGGGAAGATGAAGATGAATGAGGATGATTTTGGGTTTCTTGAATGGAAGATGAAGAGTTGATGAATTAGATTGGGGTGGTTGGGGTGAAAATTGGGTGAGAATTAGTGATTAATAAAATCTGATTATAGTTAGTAAATTGTGTTTTAATTTTTTAAGTGAGGGTAAAGTTGACATTTGACTAGTTTTTTTTTACTAAAAGAGGAAAGAAAATAGAAAGTTGCACATAATAATTAGCGGACTAAAATGGCAAAAGTTGTACATAAAAAAAATCGGAGGTAGTATTAGTGTTCTTGCATGTCAGAGTTCTTGCATTTATCATAATAGTGACAATTTATATACGAAGTATATATATAGAATTACAGCTTAACTTCAACCACATTTTAGGTATTAAAATACCAAAAAAAAAAATTATTAAACTTTAGTTGAAATTGTAGTACGTTCAATTCATTAGAATTGCAAATTTCTTTGTCCAAAAAAAAAAAAAAAAAAAAAAAAAAAAAAAAAAAAAACTGTAAATTTTCTACCTTTATAATCATTTGCTAATACTTGCTTAAAACTATTAAGCTTTCAAATCATTTGAAATGGTTACTTAACATCTAATTATATGATAATACATATGATGACTTATCGTAGAGCGTGTTCGAATGCTATAATGTTATCATATTATTAATTCATTTGAATCTCATGTTTTAAAATCCTGAATATGAAATAGAACTTAGATCATATATATATTCTATGAATCTTATGAGATCATTGAGTTTTAGACTTCTTTGTCCTTTTTCCTACCAA